CATTAGCCTTCTCATAAAAGGAAACAAAACGAGATATTGTGCCGATGCAAATGCAGGGACGAAATCATGGCACACGAGTTCACAAATATCTTCGGCAGCAAGTCGGCGACATCGCTTGGAGATGAGAGTTCTGTGCGGGCTCTTCGGCAGACACTCGGGCGTGTGGGCAAGTTGCCAGATTTAGCATCCCAGACCTCTGTATCCCCACGCATTGCATTCCCGCTAGATTCTCAAGCGAAACAGATGCTCGTTCCCTCGCCATTGATACATGTTTATGTGTAGCTACATTTGCACCTTCTCCCCGCACATGCCCCAATGCCGGGCAGTCATCGCAATGGGCGTGCATCAAAACACAAGGCTAGCCACCGTCGAGATACATTGCCAACGGCGATGATCGAGTTGTCCGCACGGGCCAAGACGGCACGCTAGGTAGGGTAGCCACAGCGGACTTGTTATGACACGGAGGATGCGGCGGCCGGTGAATTTGCGCTGCAGCGCGCTCGGATCGTGTTCCGTTAGAACGGCCATCGCTAACCACCGGAACTTGCAGCTGGCAGCCGACGCAAACTAGAACCGACTCTTGTACGTTTGGAGCACAGGGTCACAAATTGCGATTCCACGGACAGGATTTCCAGGCAGATGAAACAGTGCAAAGTCATAAGCGTAAGGAGCGGATAGGCAAGTAGAGAGAGGCAAGAGTTGCAACAATCACGGATTGTAGCCGTCGTCGGCAGCAAGCAACGTGTAGAGGGCATGAGCACACCGCAAGCAAGGGTAATAGCAGAGGAAAGGCTGGCAAGAGTGAGACAGATATGCGAAGAATGCAGCAGGGAGCTCAAGTGAACTTGGCTCTAGAGCGAAGAACCATCAGGTCTCGGCGCTTACGGTTGCGCCGCAGCCATCCGTTGCCAGCTTCACTTGTTACGGCGATGACAGCACGGACAGCGACGCGGGTACTCAACCACCACCATATCACGACAAGCCAGATGAGAAGCCCCAGAAGAAGTGGATGATGGAGGAGACGCACATGGTCGCCAGTCGATCTGCGGAGACGCGTCAGCTCTGTGGGAAGGCCAACTTGGTGCTGTCCTCGCGAACACGGCTGCTGAGGGCGTCGTCAGAATGCTTACCTGGATGTGCTGTCTTGCCCTCCGGTGTCCGAACTCGCCACGAAGGTTTCTCAGACTTGTACAGCTATGGAGTAGTCTGTAATATGTGTTAAGAGACATACCGCAGCGAAATGCAGACGTTGCGGGTATGCCTACCTCAATGTCCCGTCCGTCCGCCAC